TGATGATGATTTCGTTATCTTTAGATCTCAAACTATAAATTTCATTAATTGATTATATTTTATTTAATTATGTTAATTTGAAGAAAATCATTTCAAGAACTTTTTGTTGTAATACAGTTGATTCTTGCTAATCCAGCACTTAGACAATCCCTGGAGGATGTGATAGATAATTAAGTGCTTCTGTTTCCATGAAAATGTTAGCATATCATGTGCCCTGTTTTCCAGTTTATTCTGGTTTTATTTCTGTTTACACATTGCACTCCAGCAGACTATATTATTTGTCTGCCTGCCTTCAAAAAGAATCATTATCAAAGGGTAAAAAATTGTGTCATTCATTGCCTTTTGGCCAATACAAACAGTAAGCTGACACTCCTCTGTGCATGGAATGACTGGATTAGTGAGATTCTACTATATTAATTTTACAACAGTTATTTATATTGATTTAAACACATCAGTATAAAGTGTTTTAATATATTTGATAAATAAAAAAATAGAATATTTATTTTTATATATTTTTTTGTCTGTATGTAGATTATATAAATAAAATACAGGCTTATACACTGTACTACTACAATTAAATCCTAGGTTGAATGAAGCACATTGAAGTACTGCAAAGTATAGGATAATTTAGTTTAGAGCAGGGGTGTCCAACCCGCGGGCCAAATGAGGCCCAAGGCAAGTTCCAATGCGGCCCAATAAACATGTAAACAAAACCGACAAATTGTTTTATTTTACTGTATTTATTTTTTTATTTCAACGGCATAAACTCAAAAAAGAAGTTTCACAAAGCCGTAAACTTTTATACATATTTTATTTTTGAGTGAAAAGGAAATATTTTCAAATACTTGGAGATATGTGAATGACGAAGGAATACTATATATAAAGCTGGAGTTGTGACTCAAAGGCTTATAGACCAAATTTGAGAAAAGGAGAGAAAGGCCAAAAGATAAAAAAGTAGTGAGAGAAAGATTAAATAGACCTTCTGTTATGCAAATATTGACCTTTAATTTTCCAACCTTCCTCACTACTGTTTATCTTTTGGCCTTTCTCTCCTTTTCTCAAATTTGGTCTATAAGCCTTTGAGTTCCAACTCCAGCATTATTTAGTATTCCTTCCAGCATTTCAAGATTTGACTACTTTGTACCAAATTTGGCTACCCTTTTTTTAGTTTGGCATAAAAATTATCATTTGGCACATTGGCTACTTTCTGGGCTACATATTATTTATAAATATATAGTCAGATAAAAATGCACTTTAAGATGGTGTTTTGTCATTTTTTTATTAATTAGAGACCGAAATAAAACAAATATTTGTGTTTTTCAAATAAATTTTTGTTTGTCTCCTTTATAATAAATGAATTTATCTATTTCTAAGTAAAAATTGAAAGTGTCTGTAGAAGTAATTTTTTAAAATATCCTTTTTCGTAATAAAGTTTTAATACTTATTACTATAATCTAGACATGTTAATCTTTGAATATACTAGTATATTTAAGGATTAGGTCATACTTGTGGCCCAAAACGCCATGACTTCTTCCAATGTGGCCCAGAGGAACAAAAAGGTTGGACACCCCTGGTTTAGAGTGACATGTAAGAAATTTAACTAAAATTTTGCCTCTTCAAATTGTCTAGAATCAGACAGCATTTTCTATTCTAAGGTTATAAGAACATTTTTAGAAGTAAAACTTTAAATATTATCAAATATTGAGCTTGGGAAAGTCGCAATTAAGTTTGTAAGTCAAAGACTTATCAAAGGGTAATTAGGAAAACTTTAAGTGGAGATTGTGAGTTTGAACTAGAAAATGGTTGTTAAGATTCTGATTCTGACAATGACATTGAAACAGACCCAAGTGGCAACATAACTGAATCAGAAGATGCTGAATTGGGTTAACTATGAAAACTAATTATTTCAAATAATTTAGCCATAACCCATAAATGTAGTCAATAAACTGTTGATATTTATGAAGAATGACATTCAATCTAAACTGGACCCATGAAAAGATGAGAATAAAATATATTGCTAGTTTGCATATTATTAGCATATGTTATATTAGTACCTAGTACACTGGCTGTTATAGTGTACTAAATTGATACTCAGCAGTCTTTAAGCTTGCAACTTGTAAGAAAAAAATGCATGCACCACATAGGAAACTTATGAAATGTACAGTACTTGTGGCCTGCATCCAGTAAAGGTTATTCATTACAGATGTAAAGATTATATACAAAAATATAAATTTGGTTTAATAAACTTCATATTACATATTATTTTATAGTATAGTAGTTTAGTTTAAAGTGTCAGAAATATCAGGCATGAAGAAACATATGCTAGACAATATTAAGGAATCCATTTTTTAATGTCATTTGAATGTTTTTCAAGACAACTGGTTCCATCTTCACAGTCCAAACAGAATGGATCATTAGAAATAACAATGCATTCTCTATCAGCTCTAATTTTGTGATTTGAAATTTCAATGTTTCCTTCTGTAGTTCTACAGTTCAATGGATTAAAAAAAAATTATTGTGCACATCGTAAAGTTCTCACTCATCTGTTTTGAACTTAAATATTCAAAAACTTTTTACAATGAATCTCAACATTTAGAAAATCTTGAAAAACATGTAAATCATTGAAATTAATTGAATTAATTAATTAATTTTCTCTGATGTATTCAATAGCAAATCCAAAAATCTTTAGATGGAATGCAGGAAGGAAACAATATTCCTTACAGAAGATTTTACTACCTGTGATGCTGGCTTTGTTCAGGATAAACCCCAGAATGGGGAGGTACAGCTGCTCCCTGAGCCTATTTAAATTTCACATGAAATTGTTTCATTCATATAAGTATACTATACATATTTTTTTATACATATTTCAAAATATGAAGTGCTGCAAGATGCTACATGTTAACATGATTGATAAAATTAATAAATTAATTTTGTTAACATTATAAATTTGAAACTGTTAAACATTTTACCAATAAATTTATTATTATATGGATAGATCAAAAAGTATAATACACATTTTTTTTTGTGAATAATTGCTAGCTAGGCAAAATGTGAAATAATGCACAAATTTACATACATGTCACAACACTACACCACCCATCAGACTTAAGAACGGGTTAATTAATTAACAAACAATCCTCATAAAACACCTTAATTTGCTGAGACTATTTATTTTAATACAAACTGATGTTTTCAACTTATTGTTTAGTCCATCCTCAAGTTTACATAACTTTTGGAACAACAGTTACATGTTCCAAAATAGAATATTGAAAATTTAAAATGAAAAATTAACATGGAAAAATAACAGAAAAAATATAAATGTAAAAACTACCAAAAAATATTAATATAACAGGTAACATAAATATAATAGAAACATAAAAGTATAAAATGGAATACAATGAAAATATTAGTAATTGAAACAAATTAGGAGCTTCTAAAAGACTTCTTTTTAACTATGTACTACCATGTTACATACATGCTTTAAGATGTGGAAACACTACTTGTTCTTGCCACCAAAGAAATTCATAATCACCCAGTCTACAAAGGTGGTCTTAATAATGGTGTTCTGAAACATGCATAGTATTCTTCAAGTGGACTTTCTTCCAACCAGGAATGCTGCGACCTATGCTAACACAGTGACAAAGTTGCCTAGTTCCCTTTGTGACAAATATTCCAAGAGTGACACCATAAATGTCAGACTGCTTTACAACCTGTTCCATGTTGCAACTTCTGTTTGTGCCAAAAATGTACAATTTAGCTGAGAAATATTGATACTTCAGTATCTACTCTACACCTGACCTTTTGGACTTTCATCTGTTTGGTTCCATGAACAAATTGGGCTGGCAACACTTTAATTGAATGACAAAATGCAATTAGTTATATGCAGTTGGCTGTTTACCCAGAAAATGGAGTTTTATGAACAAAGTATAATAAAACTGGTGCCAAGATGAGAGAAATATCTCAAGAGACACTGTTATGTTTTGCTTTACAACACTACTAATATAGCATTTTTCAAGTATATTCAAGTTTATAAGATAAACATGAATAAGGATTTTTGTTTATTATTTTTACTTTCATATAGGTTTTTAGGCTAGTGCTATTGTGCACTTAATAAATGATAGTTTAAATATGTTCAGACCTTTATATGTACTGGTCAGTGAAAAAAAGGTTATAATTTGCTTTAAGATTGTGATCTAGAATCTAATCTACTGCATTAGTGAGGTTAGGTTCTAGATCAGGGGTGACAAACCAATGGCATGCATGTCCAAAGTGGCTTGTAACTTGTACGATTTTAATTTATTGTCTGTCTCTCTTTTTTTTAAATCATCTTTTTGGTTTATCATCTGATCAGCTTTTTTTCAATCAGCTTTTTTACATTTATTCAAATTAAAGCATATTCATTTAATTTCTTTAAATATCATTATCTGAAACTTTGGCATGCATAAATATCTGAAGCTAGGTATGCTTACTATATGGCATGCATGCTCAAAAAGGTTCATCATTCCTGTTCTAGATGATTTCTGCTGCTATACCTGTACTAAAATGTACTGATTTATAGTATATATAGAAATAATACCTGTACTTTTAAAATTCTTTAAATAGAAAAACATAAGTATTTAAAGGTTTTGTTGAACATTAATAGTATTCTTTATTGCAGTTCTAGGCTGTGATGAATTATTAAAAAATATCAATACCTACTTTGTAAATTTACAGTTTTAATATCTGAAAAATTATTACAGAATTAATAATAATAATCATTGTGACAAATAAATTTTAATTTCAAAACATATTAAACTCAAATTTTTCACTTTGAAAACTTTATGAAATATTTTATCTTTGATTTTTATAGCCAAATCAGGCTTGAGGATTGCTTATGTATATATTACATGATATTTTTATGTTTAATAACTCATTTTGAATTATTCATTATTATGAAAAACAGTCAGTTTACATAATTTAAGTACTTTTTAGAATTAATTGTTGATTTTTCTATTTTTCAGACAAGAAGTGGTCCCACAAGGCACTCTCAAGGTCGATAACATCCCATCAAAATACATAGGTTTAATATCTACAAAATACAACTTTAATATCTACAAAAAATTTGTACAGAGATTTTGGCATACTTTAACCATATGACAACGAACCTTATCTATATACTCGTGTGTTTTTGGTGCAGTTTTTGTTTTTCTCAAAGTGTCATTCAATAAACTTTCTTCTTTGTTTGGAATGTTTATACATATGTACAATTACATATATATATAGCAACAAAAGCAATATCAGTTTCCATTGTTGTTCTTGTTGGACCTAAATAGTGTACTGAAAATTTTCTTTCTATAGAAGAAAATATATATTTAAGCAATTAGAGAAGAACATTGTTGTTATCAAAGAAACCGTCCATAGTAGTAGTATATCTTATTTGCAAAAAATTTGTCCATTTCAGGGATTGTTGATTTGATTGCATTTTGCAACAGTACCAAGTAAAGATTATATCATTTTAAATATGAAAAAAATGTTTTCTTGGGATTTTTATCAAAAGTCAAAATACCATTTGTATGTATATCAAAGTTTAATTTGATAAAAAAAAAACAACAAAAAATTTGTTTATCATTGTTAGTGTTTTATTTTGTTTGCAAGAATCAAAATATATATAAAAAAAATGTATTTTATTTTTTGATTTCAAACCAAATATACAAGTATATAAATAGACTTTTCAGTTCTATATACAGTTTAAATGAATTGATTTAAAATATTTGTTTAACTTTAAAGAAATTCATGATACATTTGTTGTACTTGATATTGGAAAAGTGTTGGCAATTAAAAAAAAAACATGAAATGCTTTAAATTTATTGTTGTCGTGGTTAAATTTTTCTAGATACTGGTAATTTAAAATATTATTACTAATTATATATATGTATGAATTTAAAATATTAAATTTAAGAAGCATTTGCAATTGGAAAATATAAAAGGCATGCCTTCATCAGCATTACATCTGATAATTGTAATTAACTGTTGATCTGATACCACGAATAAGATGTATGGTTTTTATTTATTTCAATGCATATTTTGCAAAAAATTCCATTTTTATGGTACTTTACTAGACCGTGTTTAGTTCTCTTATCAAAATATAGGTGGTAGCAATGCAACGACAACTATTAAAATGTACCGATATAGTTGGAAGAAGGCATTTCTTGTGTTGGGCAGTTAACATCTTGACAACAGATGCAAAGGCATGGCTTGAAATGGGATATCATAAACGATCAACATTATATTTTCATTTTCAAATTGTAAACTTTGCCACTGTACGATAGGGACAAAGGCCTTGAAATATGGCCAAAACGAAAAAAGTTTGTTTACTCGAAATAAGTACTTTCGTGAACCACACTTTACTCGATATCGATAAGCCGAGTGTGTAAAGTATTATATTAGGACTAACGGCTTAGTTTTTTTATTAGTAAAGGTCTGCACTGAAAAGTTCATTCTTGTGAAAAGTATAAAAATGGCCTACCAGTGGACAAGCGGTTCTGTTCCCTGAACACTGGAAGTTTGGTTGTGGGTTCACCCAAACCGGCTGTCCACGTGGAGTTTACCAGTTTTCTCCACGTCTGTAACGCCTGAATAGGGGAAAGATACCCTTAAAAGATCTCCCCGCATTATTCCCCCCGTAACGACCATCATAAATATATAACATGACAATTATGTCACACTTTACAAATATAGCCTAGAAGCTCATGGATATAAGACAAGTATCAAAACTTTTTTTTTAATGTAAATATGGTTGTTTAAAATGCTTGGTATATGCCTAAACTTCATAATAAATGTTATAAAATTTTTTAGTTTTAGTGAAAGAAATAAACGCAACATGTTTATTTTGTTATGAAACAATTTTTTATTTGTCCTTTATTTTCTCCAATCAAAAAAGAAAGAAAATAGTCACTGTAGTTATACCAGACAATTATGTAATCTAATAATATCAGAGTCGATGTACTGGTCTCTTAGGCATGCTCTAAGCTAACAGTTAATTAATGTGTCAGGTAGCCGCTAGCTGGCGCTAGAGTCGCATTAAGGCGAGAAGTTATTGATTTATGTATTTGGATTTGGCTGTTTTCAAACACTTTTGTAACTATTTTCTACTGTTCTGTCAAAAAAATTTTATTCGTAATTCCATTTTTTAAAATTTTATATCATTTATAAAGAAAGAAAAAACATATTTTGGTTTATAAAAAAATTTAATAACATGATAATTTGAAATTACAGATGATGTGGCTATATCTAAAATTATATTTTCTATTTAATTTATCCAGGTTTTAAATAGAGATCTGTTTAAATGTAATGTAATGTATCTGTATGTGTGTTTGTGGCACCAATTTGTTTACCCTGTTTAAACCTTAACTCCTGCGCTTTTTTTTTTGTATAAAATTTCTGAAATTTTGCAGGGAGGTTTGTGTATTGGAGATATTGATGCTGTTAAATTTTCGTGGTTAAATGTCGACAGGGTGGAAAGATAAAGGGGGATCGTGTGTCATATATGGGATAGGATCGGACTTAATTACGACTTTACTCGTTAGTAGCATTTATAATTTTTTTCTTTTTTTTTTTTTTTTATAAAACCCATCCCTACTCTCGAAATTAAGTTTATTGCCATTTTATAATAGTTAAAATTATAAAAATATTTTAATAAAATATTATAACAGATGGCGCCATCAAATGTTGCCGGGGAAAGTTAAGCAACTCGTTGCTGAATTTTTAAAGGATTTTTCCGCTGATGTTAAAAACGTGTTTATCAAAAGTTCCGGAATCTCATTTTAAATGTAATTTTATTTTTCATGCTCTTTTTTCACTAATAAATTCCAAGCTTCTCAAATCATATTTCGCTGATTTTTGTTTCATTATGAATTTTTACTCCTTATAACTGTTAATAATGATGTCTCTAATTAGAAATTAATCCAGAAATGCGCCATTTTAATATTTTGATAAATATCAAATTTTTAAACAGTTAATATGAAATTTAATAAGTTTTATTAAATATAAAGATTTATATAGAATCGTGAAAATTCCACGTAAAAATGTAATTGTTGAAGTAATTATAATTCTGGTTTGAACACAATGGATTCCTCTCGTAGTGCATTATTCTGTGGTGAAATGTCTTACTAGTAGAACACCAGACGAAATACACTGCTGGCCATTAATTAAAATTGCAACACAAGGAAGGAATGATCGTATGAACGTCAAAATCATATGAAAGGAAGAAGAGGTTGGGATATGCAAATGTTAGTAATTCAGTGCATTTAGACAATGCAGGAGGGACAAACGACATCTGAAGCACTGCATAAAAGAAAAGTTGTGCAGTGGATTTCTCATTCAGAAATCGCTTTGTAAGGTCGGGGTTTCATCAATATCGCGTTAATGCCTCGAATAAGAAGAAGAAATGCTTACCAGCAAGTGTTGGAATTCGATAGAGGCAGGATCATTGCCTATCGAGTGTGCATTATCGTTCCGTGATATTGCCACTCGCACTGGTCGAAATCCAACTACTATCATGCGAATATGGAATCGATGGGCTGCTGAGGGTCTTAATGAACGGCATGCAGGATCTCAACGCCCTCCCATGACTAACGCCCGAGAGGACAGACATATTGTGAGGTCGGCCGTGCAAAACCGTACAACCACATAAAGGACCATTAGTCAGGAAATGAGCTTGTTTGCAGCACGTCCAGTATCTACTCGTACGGTGCAATGACGTTTGCAGTAGCGTGGACTGTCAGCACGGCGACCATTACTTCGGCTTCCCTTGACAATGCAGCATAGAGAGAGACGGCGACTCTGTGTGCCCAACGACAAAGCTAGATACAGGAGTGGCACAATGTCGTCTTTTCAGACGAGTCCTGGTTCTGCGTGCAGCATTCTGATGGCCATATACGTGTCTGGAGGTTCCGAGCAGACCGCTCGTCGCCTGCTTGCATTTGATATTGGCTTAGGGGCCCTGCACCTGGTGTGATGATATGGGCAGCCATCGACACGCACATCTCTAGTTCGGATCGATGGTAATTTGAACGCAGATTGGTACATTTCTGATATCTTACGTCCAGTGGTTGTGCTCTGTCTTCGAGGCCTGCAAAATGCCATCTTCCAACAAAATAATTCAAGACCTCATGTTGCACGTCGTGTTCTGACCTTCCTCGATACAGAGGATATTCAATTGTTGCCCTGGCCTGCACGGTCTCCAGATCTCCCACTAATTGAAAACATCTGGTTATGAGTTGCTGAGAGACTGGCCCGCCACCCCTGTCCTGCTAATACAATTGATGAAGTGTGGCATAGACTTGAAGCAGCATGGAATGAGTTGCCCGTTTCTGTCATCCAAGCCCAGTTCGACTCCATGCTTAAACGGATAAGGGCCGTTTTAGCTGCCGGGGGATGGCAACTGTGTCTACTAATTTCGCGCCCTGTAAACCCCCAAACTGCTTGCAAATTTAATCATTTTGTCTTTATGCCATACTGTTTAAGTACAATAAATATATATTTTTTATTTACTTTCCTGCTTGGTGTTGCAATTTTAATGGCCAGTAGTGTATTATAAACTGCCTTGGCCTGTTATAGTCGTTTAATTAAAAAATTGTACTATTCTGTTGAATGCCGTAACACAAAACATCTGTGAAAATAGAGGTAACAAGATCAACGAATAAACTCGAATTATTTTAATTAATTAAGATTCAGACGGGATATTAATATATATATACGTATGTATGTAATATATAAAATATAGCAGGGAATAAGAGATTTAAAGTAGGCTATTTATTAATTTTCATTTTTCGATTGGAAAATTAACAGTGTNTTATTTACTTTCCTGCTTGGTGTTGCAATTTTAATGGCCAGTAGTGTATTATAAACTGCCTTGGCCTGTTATAGTCGTTTAATTAAAAAATTGTACTATTCTGTTGAATGCCGTAACACAAAACATCTGTGAAAATAGAGGTAACAAGATCAACGAATAAGAGGAAACGAGCCGACGAATTAACTCGAATTATTCTAATTAATTAAGATTCTGACTATGTATGTAATATATAAAATATAGCAGGGAATAAGAGATTTAAAGTAGGCTATTTATTAATTTTCATTTTTCGATTGGAAAATTAACAGTGTGAAGATCCGATTCCTCTGAAGGAAACCGATCAATTGTTATAGAAAACCACCGCCGCTTATTGTGATATTTTGCTTATTGAAGTTAAAAAGTATTTAAATCTAGAAAGATCGTAGTCTCAACTTACTTAAACAATCGCTGCAAATGAAGCAAAACTCGAAAAAGCATTCGCAATAAATAATCGCACGAGTCAACAATAGATCCTCTCTCAACAACGAGAAAATTTTATTGTTGCGTAGCGTTGATTCAATTTAATGTTAAAAATTTGGATTGTGCGGCGAATTTCGTGATTTCTCTGCCTCTGTATGTCTAAAGAAAGTGATTTCGACAGATCATTGCACGAGTTTGTCTTGAGCCTTTTACTCGTTCTCACAGACACGAGCCATAATCAATTCACATAGAGTAAGGGTGCGACTATGCAGACGCGAATTTAGAGCGAGCGAGAGGTTGCGAGCGATTTAGTTTTGCACAAACGAGAAGCGAGAAATAACGCTGGCGAGAGCGAATTTCTGGTTCTCGCACATATCTGACAGGTTTTGATATTTATCGCGTCTCGCCTCTTCTCGCCACATATTCTCGCTCGCTTGGAAAATTCGCTCTCTCGCGTCTGCATAGTATCATCTTTTACACACAAATGAATAAATTTTGCAGTTTCTTAGTGTCAGTAACTAGAAACAAACGGCTTAGAACATATACTGTATACATATGTGTTTAATTTAAGCCATATTTATGTACGACCCTTGAAATATGATCATCCATTCAAGTCCTGTACACACCGTATAAGTGTATATTGTAATAATACAGTAGTAGTATAGTACAGTACAATACAATTGATACAATTGATCTACAGCTTATTTAACACGTGATATATTTATTGGTGCGGATTATAAATACGATTCTTCCAGAATTATAATTAAATAATAAAAATCCTCTGTTTTATCAAGAATTTCCACCATTTTATTTTCCAGAAGTACTGTACACTAATATATTAAAGTTCGACGACATACGAATTAAATAATCGATCATCGTCGATGCGATTAATTCGTTTTGTATCGTCAAGCGGGATTAATTCTAGTTTAATTTTTCTTGAAATTTTGTAAACTGATCTGTAATCGGATCTTAGACTAGTCTAGAATTCTGATTGAAGTGTGAATAACCAATCGGAGAGAAACACGTAAAGGCGACTTTTGAAATCCACGTCAGGAGGACCGGCAATTCATCTTCCTTTATTCTAACGCAGAGTCGTCTAGAGAAAATGAAGGAATATTATATTAAAGGTAATCTAACGTTAAATTTAATCGATTTCTTTATTGTTAATAGACAATTTGTATGTTTAAAATATAAATGTATTCTCCACACTGTCATCTGTCATTGTAATTGTTCTTCCAGTGTTTATTCTGTGTAGATTCGTCTAATTTACTTACCTTTATTGAATGTCAAAGATGTGCTTATAATAAATCTACCAAAATGAATAAAAAAAAGGAAATGATTATAACTGTGATAATGGATGTGATTATTTGAATGTAGTGGAAGTTACCTTTAGATCATTCATTTATGTATTTATATACAGATGAAGTAGCTAAAAGTAACTTCTACTCAAATGTTATAGTGGCTGTTATTAATTTGAATAATTTGGAAGTTAAATCTGCGTCGTGTGGGCGACGAGAGAATTTTTAGATTCTAATTTCGGGTTTCTCGCCACCGAAATTGGAGTTAAACTAATTCTAAATGGAATTTGAAATTCTTTATTAAATGTGATTAAAATTTAAGTGTGTTTTTAAAGTTTATTAATCCGTTCGTTCGATGTTATTTAAATTAATCTGTTGGTTCTGTTAAATTTTCCGTTTAGTTCGGTGACGAGCCGTAGTTTTTATATTTTTTGAATGTTGGGGCTTTTCGTATTTTATTTTTTTGTAAAAATATAAAACTAGTTATTTCGAGGAATAACGTGTGAATTATTATTTATTCGTCTGTTGGAAGCGATGCATCGATGAAAAGATTTCGAAGGTATTATCACTTAAAAGTAAAAATCTAGCTCATTAATTAGTGTTTATTGTGATTCTTTGTATTAGTTCGTAGAACTGCTTGAAAGTATTAAATAAATATATGTTTGATTGAGATAAATATGAAAGTTTTCTTATAATTATGAAAAATCAAAAATCGATTTGTTTTTTTAATGTTATTTATGGCATAACAATAGAAACAATATGCTTTCTTGTGTATAGAGTATGGAAAGAAGTATGTATGGGAGATAAAGAGAATGGAAAAGAAAATATCTTTGAATAAGCAATAATTATACAGATATAAAAAATATTTTAATTAAAAATTTATGCAAACAATTTATTATTCTTATTATTTTAACAAATATTGAATATTTACGTAATTAAGTATAATAAAATGCATAATAATAATAATAATTTTTACTCTAAATTCTATAAATGTGATTAGGCCAATATTAAAGATAATATTAATTAAACGGATTTAGTTTCAAACTGCAGTTATCAAATAACTACATTATTTAGATTGTGATTCTAATAAGAGATACGTGGAAACTGTAGTTTTACAATTTAATCACAAAGAATGGCTTGATCTATAAATGAAAACTAAATCTCTAAATCTGTATTGTGAGTAATAGCTTGGTATTAATTTTCATTTAATCTGTAACTTATTAAGCATCTTTCTGAGGAATTTTTCTTGCATGGTCTGTTCTGAATATGTTAGGCTCCATTCATCACCATTTGTCCTGTTCAAATCCATGATGGATAAACCCAGTCAACAGAATTTTTAACATCCGGTAACAAACTTTAATGTAAAAATTGACAAACTTTTTATTATATTCATCATGGATATAATAAAAATGCCCTCTTAGTACTTACAGGGTAGAAAAAGGAATAGAAACTATTGAAAGAAGTGAGAAAGGCAAACATTTGAAGTGTATTTAGTCTATTGTGTTAAATTGGTCATATTTTTTATACTTAAAATGATAAATAATCATTTTAATTATTATTAATATTAATTTTATAATTAATTTTTTAGGTTTTCTTCTTTTAATTGCATTTATAGAAATATGTAGTGGACTTTATGGTAGTAATTCTGATGTTATTGAATTAACACCTTCTAATTTTAATTCAAAAGTAATTGGAAGTGATGAAATTTGGATTGTTGAATTCTATGCCCCTTGGTATGTTTTATTTTTTTTTATTTTAATGTGTAAATGTGTTTTAATATATATATTTTTTATATAATTTTCATTTAAAATTTTTATTTTCTAAGGTGTGGACATTGTAAGGCATTTGCTCAAGAGTATTCTAAAGCAGCTACTGCACTTAAGGTAAATTTGTTTCTTTTGTCAAATTTCCTAATCTTTTAATTATACAGATATATCAACTGTTTAATTTTATGAACAAATGAATTGTTTTTTTGAAAGCATAAATATCATTTGAAAGAATAGTTTCCAATCTTCATAGTGAAAAAATGAATCTTAAAACGTATATTTTCTGTTGGATGTATTATTTAAATAAATATTTCAAAATTTTTAATATATCGGAAGAAAGTTTTTACTTGACAAATGTTTTTGGTTTCTTTAAAATACTTTGTCAGAATATTCATATTTCTATAGAAATACATATTTATCGTTAGTGTTTATCATAAATTTAACATCAGTATTTATCACCAATTTGCAACTTTTTTTAGTGTTAATTAAAAATTGCATTCAATTTCTGTTTTGTATTCAAGAAATCATGACAAATCATAAATACTTAATAAATTTTTATTATTATGTGAAATAACAGTACAAATTAAGTAAAACTTTTTGCTTTATTTGTATTATTATCATTACAGTAAAAAATATAATTATCCTTTAAATAAATTACTTATTTTTCATATTTATGATGAACTTGAGTGCATTATGTATGTGTTTTAGTTGAAATTTCCAATTGATTGGTTAAGAAATTGACTTTATTCTTCATTAGACATCAATGATTCTAAGATAATGGTTTTGTTAAAATTAGTTAAATTGTTGTTTTGGATGCAAATTTTCTTAATTTGCTAAATGTGTTAAATTATATCTTTACATTATACAGAGTAATGTGATAATATAAAAATATTTAATAGGAAGGTTTAATAACAATGATTTACTTTGTAATGAAAAAATTACAAAAATATTTTAACTGTGACTAAATAAAACATATATTTTAACTGTGACTAAATAAAATAACATATATACATTCATAAAGTCGGACAAGTTAAATGAGAGTGATGTCATTGTTATTCTTATTTCGTTAGACTTTTCAAATGATTCGTTTATAACTAAATGGATGTTTCTAAAATCAAAGATATGAATGTTGCTAGTACAGCCTTATCCGAAATATTTTTCTTAGATTGCTTCGGGTGGACGGTTATTTCAATCAGTTCACCTTTTAATTCACAATTTAAATACTCGAGTAGATTTAGAAACATCGATATCGTTGGACGCCATTTTCTTAACGAAGTAAACTAACTCTTTCCTTCGTGAGCTTCATTAAATTTTTGTTCAAAATGTCGTCACTGCAGAGCATGCGCACTGAGTGAAACTACTACTTTTTGAATGATTTATTATTAACACATTTAACTCGTTTGACTTTACGAACATACCCATAATTTTCTTTTTTAAATAGTGAAGTGATTAACATCGACCATCTGCACAAAGTTTGAATTTTCTTGAAAGCTTTTGAAAAATCTGACATAAATACAGTATAATTGAATTATATAATTATTAAAAAATCCAAGATTGAATATAATTAAAAATTCTGTAAAACAAGAAATATTTCAAATATACCAAAACATGTTATCTACAAGAAAAAATTTTTTAAGAGTGTCTTCATAGTTTGGTCCTTTTCTTACATCTCAGGAACATACCTCATGACAGAGTTAACCTTTATTATGATTATCTTTTTAAAAAAATTTTGTACATAACATGTTTTGGTATATTTGGAACATTACTTCTATTTTATAAAATTTTTAATTATAAATTTCAAATAGGAAAAAAATTAATCAAGATATAAATGTTTGCATTCTTGCACTTCTTTTTCTTGCTGCTATCTGTTTGAAAATTTGACTGAAAATAAAAATTTACTGGAACCAAACAAATTACTTTTTCTTTTTTTTTTGAAGATTTTAATAAAAACTTCAAATATTACTAATGTATATATTCTGGAATTATTTAAAATATCAGTAATATTTAAATCTTTAGTCAGATCTTAGAAAATAAAATAATTTATTTGATTCCAGTGAACTTTTGTGTTTTTGAAATTTGCTTGAAGATATTTTCATTGTAGAGAGAAAGCAAATGCTTGAATGTATGTACTAACTTTATATTTAACTTGATTTTTTTTTATTTGTCCAGGATTTAATATCACTTACTGAATACTTAAATTAATTGCATGCCTATAATTGATAGATTAATAAAAATATATAGATGTTTTACTTTATTTTCAATCCAAAAGAATTATATATAATTCATAATATATTACTGTAAGTTGATTTAATTAATTGGGCTGCAATTTGAAAAAGTTGTAGACCTATAAATTTCCACTATTGTCCATCTGTCTGTTGACATTTCCCTAATTTTGAGAATGGAGTTAGATAGATGATAAACAAGACGAAATATGGAAACCTTGGGCAGGAGGCCCCAATTAACTATATATGAACTGATGCAAACTGGAAGTCACATTATTTCAATTTAAATATTTTTTCCTAAAGGTGTTAGATAGATGACTGGCACAACTCTATTGATAAAGGAAAATTTTGATGTACACAGGTGGAGAACATATATTTTAAATTAAATTAAAAATATGATTAAAAATCGTAACCAGGCATTATCATGATGTCACAATAAATAATTGCTTATTTGAATTTAAAATTTTATTTTAAAAAAATTGTTAAATTTTAATGGTTAACTGATTAACTGTTAAATTTATAGTATAGAATTCAAAATATAAATTATTTGTGTTTCCAATATTGTGACCAAACTTTAGTTTGACCATCATATTGGTTGACATATTTTATTTCTTCTGTCTCATATTGATTTTCAGATTATTTCAATTATGTCTTCTTGTTACAATTGCAACTCTACAAAAACCATTAGAATTTAACTGATTATTCTAATAAAAATTCAAGTTCCTTTGCATCAGAAACACATGTTTCACCATTGTAAATCTCACGTTAGTTTAGTAAAATAGGTAATGTTTTTACAAAACTTAATCATGACCAAAAATGATTATTTTTCCTTTCATTTGATAAAAGTTAGCTTGATGCAGTTTGCAGTATTGGAATTACAATAGAGTCCCATCATATGTTACCAATAGGTTTCAAGACTTCTCAAATAAGCAGAAGTTTGCATAAAATAGCAAATGATATTAATTATTAAGCATTTTCTATATTAACATATATAGAAAATACAAATAAGGCAAATAAACACTATATTAACAATAAATTGCACATACCATAAATCATAGTAATAACAACTTTAAAAAAATTCTATAAATACACTTTTTCTTTTTTTTTAATTTACTGTATGTAACGTTCCATAACCTGAAGATGGCAGTTAAAAACAATTAAAAGTGTTTGTTATTATAATAAATTTGTTCATTTTAACTGGATTACAGGTGATAGTTTTCTTTGGCTTATCAGAGCTACAAGTATCAGTATCCTCGCATTTTGGAACTGTCTTTGCAAAGTAATTAGCATAAATGTTGGAGTCGCTCTGAAAAATTTTTAAAAATTGCCAACCATTTTGCCAGGTTTATATTTTTTCATCACTTCAAATAATTTATTGCATTTTACTTACTAATTAAAATAGATTTTGTTAATCTTATCAGTTTGGAATCTAGAAAGCAAAAGTAATGTGTTAAGCTGTCCCTTAGAAATAGGAGTCATATTTGAATAATTCTGGATAACACATTTGATCACAATGCTTAAACAGTATTTCATGTGTTCTGTCTGTCAAAATTTTTATGCTTCAGTCTACTGAAAAATGATCAAAGTGAAAAAAATGTCAACCCCAAAAGTTCCCCAAAATTTCTGTCAGTTGATAAAAAAAAAAATCACCAATCTGGCAGTTTTCATGTAAACTGTTTGGTTCTTAATGTCACTTACTGTGTTCCTGCCCAAACTTGCCATGTTACGTAATGACATCTGGTGCATGGGAGCTCAACATTCTGCTGTTTTTCCTTATATCTCTAAATAAGCAGACTAGGATTTTTATCACCAGTATTATATTTTTATCACCACTTTAATAAAAATCTTGCCAAGTGGCAACTTTGGCATCTGTGCAGCATGACCCCTGTAAATGAAACAAGAAGCACTGATATCACGCTGCCATGATGTGTTGCAGCCAAAAACTGGACAAAGACTGATGCAAGTTGTGTTTAGAACAAAACTCAAAGAACTGGTCACAGTAATGCATTCCCAAAATGAGAATGAATAAGATGTTAAAATGCATCTTTAAAAAATGGCATGAATTTACAATGCAATTAAGAATTTTTTTGGATTGCTAACAGTGTAAACTTGAAACTGTATGTGGTGAATCTATGGTAGAATCCTACTGAAATTTATTTTCTTTAATGTAATTGAAATAATTCTATATTGTTTTTGAATTTAAAGCTTGAATACAGTATTGACAAAATTCACTTAATAATAATTAATGTAAAGTTAAATGTAACCATTTTGCCAGACAGGCATGCCAAATTCAAAGAGTAACAAAATTAGGTAAGTTATATTGTTGCAATAATGAAAGTTTATATTTCAGATCTGGGATAGCAAAGCAAATCATTAGTAGAGGACAGTCTTTAAAATTTCTTTTATAACAATATTCTTTATATAGTTTGATAAAGATTGCATATTTTTAAGTACAGTAGAACCCCTCTAATCCGTCACCTTTGGGACTGGGGGTATGGTCGGAACGCAAAAAAGGTCGGATTATCAGAAAAAAAGTAAAATAAACAATCTTCCCCTTTGTCCAGTCTTTGTAGCACTGCTAATTTTTCATTTAATGAAAGAGTAACGTGTTTACGTTTCACTGCTGACATGTTGAAAACACACACAAAACTGTACATGTACACACAATGTAAAACATATACTGTGACGAACACAGAAAAACGGCACGGACAGTGAGTTACCGACGAGTCGGGACAAGTTTCTCGACTCCGACCACGGTCGGATTAACCGGAGTGACGGACTAGCCGAGGGCGGACTAGAGGGATTCTACTGTAAAATAAATTTTTTTCACTTATTCCCACTATTTTTGAGTTTTTGTCCACTATTAAGTTTCTATTTAAAAAATTTATTGATTTTACTGAATGACTAATGGATTTTAATACTTGTCAACCTTAGAGTATAAATAAGGCTTGATACCTAAAGAAGTCTGATTTTGGAATGCAAAGACTGAGAAATAAAGAACAATTGACAAAAATTGTTGACAAAAACTTTTGGCACTTTTAACCATTTATTCAATCTTTGTTAACTTTATTACAATAATAGATTCATAATATTGACTTTTCCTATTAGACAAATTACTACAGTAGAATCCTGAATACTTGACTCTTGATAACTCAACATTCCATAAAATTCATTGTGTTGTTCAAAAACAAAATACATGTAATCTAATTATTACATCAATGACTTAACCCTAGGATCAAATAAGTTATCATTCTTCACTGGTGACACTTGATAATTACATTAATTTCATGTTTTAACAAAGAATATAACTCTTTTCTAAAGTGTCACTGCAAAATTCTATAATGCAAATGTCACTGACTTGAAAGTAGCTACTGAATAGTTAATGTTCATGCATTTTAATACAATCTTACTTCTCATTTTACTGTTAACACAGGAGTCTGTAAAAAATTATCATTATCAGTAATTTATCACCTTCCTATTTCAAGTTAAATTGAGTTTGTGGATGTGGGACTCTATTGTACAGTACTAGTAAAAATGTAAAATACAGAGTAATAGTAAATTGTATTATATGTAATAAGTATTATATAAAAATGTTTAGATATCTAAATTGTAAACAACTAACCAAAAATCACCAGATTTATGAAGCCCATCAGGGATTCAGCAGTTTCATAATGAGGCAGCCAGATGGTGAAGGACAAGGCCCAACATATCTGGGATGGACTACTTCCTAAAAAATTTCTGGAGTTTTTTAACCTGACAAGATTTATTCCTGGATTTTCCAGTGTCTTAGAGAGTAAGGTGTCATAGGCAGACAACTTAATTAATCATTTTTCCATCAGCACTGGGCATTGAGTTCTTTCTCAATACCATCATTACATTGAAAGCCTATTCAAAAATGTCAGATTTTTGAACAGGTTTTCTTGTACCAATGAGTGGAAGATTTTTTATATTTTCTACATTTTGAGACAAAATTTTGAGGAAAAACATTTTCATAATTTATTTGGAAAGTTAAAGCTTTCAAAGTAATTCTCATACATCTGGCAACATTGAACTCAAAGTAAATATTAATATTGGAGAGTGGATTATTTCTAAAAAACTGTGATACAATGATACAAGCAAACTTAAGATTTTTAGTACTGGTTGTGAATCCATGATTTTGAAGACAATACATTAAAGGTGTTATGTTATCTCAAAAAGACAAAGAATTTCTAGCTCAAGCTGAACAGGCTGACAACTACTTTCAAAGATAGATTCTCATCCCAAAAGACAGAAGGGTTTTATTTGTTTTTCTGTCATTTTTTACAACTTGCAACTTGTTTTAATAATAAATCAAGATATTTATTGTATTTGTTTTTAGTACATTTTTGTTTTTTGAATTGTTTATTTGATAAGTTCTCTTTTCCAAAAATACCAAGACAATGAACTTCTTATATTCTGTTTTACCAAAAAGTAAATTCAGTAATAATAAAAAATGTATTGAATAAATAAATTATATACGCTATTTATATATTACTGCTAAAAGTAAGTTTTATTGGATAATGCGCATTAAAAATGATATAAAATTTTCTGATAAATTGTAAAATGTTATATGTTATTTACAATATCTTAATTAAATTATTTTTAAAATGTTAATTAAATATGATTAGGCAAATTATGAGTACTGAAAAAATGTTTGAATAGGCATAAAATAATGTTTAATGATATTTTTAAAAACATTACTTTATGATTATTGGTATATCGATTATTTTTGTATAACTTTTTCAAGATAATAGAATACAATAATAATAAAAAATTTTTTAAAATAAATATTTATTTTAAAAAATTATTATACATCCCCTTTCTATAAAGATTTATAGAAAGGGAATGTATAATAATTACATAAATAAGATCAAAACATGTAAATAATTAATCATTATTAAGATATTATAGTTATGAAACAAAGCTTTTAAAGAAAAATTATTAGTAAATAATAATTATAGTATATTTTCTGGATTACCATTTGGACTCATCCTTATTCCAAGATTAAGTTTAGTCTCATTAAAATAAGTGCATTCCAAAAAAATAATGAGGCAAAGTATCAGATACTGATTTACAAAAAGAACTAATTTGTTGATTTTATTTTTTATACAAGCTACATCCTTATCTGAAAGTATTTTCATTGTGTTTTGGTTGTATTGTATGATTACCATTTTAAGTTGGGAAAAACATTGTTATTATATATCCAAAATGGTTGATTTGACATCAAAAACACTGAATGCTACACATATAATCTACTCTTTTTAATACGTTTTTCTTCTTGAAATAGAAAATTGTTGTAACTGTACAAAATTGATTGTATATATAATCTAAACAAATCTTCAAATACATTTAAAGAAAAATGTAATTTTTTAAGATAGCTTTCATGTTGTTATCAAAACATGTATTTTTAAAGAACTTTTTAAATGCTGGAACAGGAAACACTGTAAGAAGAGAAGATCTAAACATAAGTCCGTCAAGAATTTTAATGATATTTTTAATATCTGTACTTTGAAGTTCACAAATCCCAATTCTAATTGAATTATGTATTACAGAACTGACTTACCTATCTAAACCAAAAATAGTTGTAAAGTAATAAGCATGTAAACCAGGGGTCGCCAAAGTGGTCGATATCGACCCCCAGGGGTCGATGCGACATCATTGGGAGTCGATGCGGCTAGGGGGTCGATTGGGGGTCGATGCAGCTAAGGGGGTCACAATTTTTTTTTTTTTTGCTTATACAGAGATCACAACGTTTTTTTTCTTTGTCATTCACTAACACTTGTAATGAAACTTTACGGTGGGGGTAAATGTGAGGTTTTGGAGAGTGGTTGGGGGTCAACAGTTAAAAAAGTTTGCCGACCCCTGATGTAAACCAAACTTTGAGATAACATGGTCCCTATAATGGTATACCATGCATCAGCATTGAATCAAACAAACTCTCCTGTATTATTTTGTAAAAAAAAAAAAAAAAAGAGGTTTATATTATTAATCTGAATCATTGAATCATTAACATGCTATTGTGTAGTATTGTGACTCTTAATGTTAATTTTTTCTTCCTTTTGTTGATGTGTTCTTCAAATACTAGATTATAAGATAAAGTTATTCCCAAATAGTGATTTAAGATGTCAAATTTTTCTAATTTCACAAAAAATGAATCAGATTTTCTAATTCTTACTCTAGTCCTAAAAATTACAATCTTAGGTTATCTATAGTTTTAACATTTTAAAATATTTTTATGCATTGTAAAATATTCATTGTAAGAAAGCAAAACTCCTATCTCAATTAGAGATTTTATAATTTTTATTTTTAGCTCTGGAAATGTATTTCCTTTAACATGGTTTTCTATTGCTTAATTTTTATACATGTTTAAGAAACACATTACATCTGAAAGTTGGTTTCCTACCAATATTTTATTGTTTTAAAATAATAATATATTTGCTGTTATACATTTAAAATGTTATAAATTTATATTAATTTCTATTTTTTATTAGGGTGTTGTAAATGTAGCTGCTGTAGATGCTGATAAACATCAGTCCTTAGGTGGTCAGTATGGAGTAAGAGGTTTTCCTACTGTTAAAATATTTGGTAGTGATAAAAATAGTCCTAAAGATTATAGTGGTCCAAGAACTGCAACGGGTGTTGTTGATGCAGCTTTTAAAGAATTACGAAGAAATGTAGATAGAAAACTTGGAGGAGGAAAGTCTGGAGGTAGCAGCGGAGGAGAGAAAACAGCGGTAAAATCTATAGTTACTTTTATAAATATATTTGTTTTCTCAACTTAAATTATGATTTTTTTTTTATATATATTCAGGATTCAAAGGATGTAGTAGAGTTGACAGATTCAAATTTTGCAGATATTGTGTTGAAAAGTGATGAAATGTGGTTGGTGGAATTTTATGCACCATGGTGTGGACACTGCAAAAATTTAGCACCTCATTGGGCTAAGGCTGCTACTGAATTAAAAGGAAAAGTTAAACTTGGAGCTCTTGATGCTACGGAGCACACAATAACTTCCAATAAATACGGAGTAACTATTAAATTCAATTTTCATTTATTTTATTATATAATTTAATCTAATATTTAAAAAATTATTTATAAACTTTTTAATATAAAGTATAAAATTCAAAATAAATATTTATAGACATCTATTAATAATTTTAGTTAAGAACAGTGGTTTCTAAATAGGGGATTGCAAATGGGATTGCCAGTTTTTTTATAGTTGCATAAACTCCTTTTTTAAACATTATTCCATTCCCATTTTAAAAATTTTTTAAAAGATTCCTAATAAAAAATCAGATGTAATAACTTTTGTAGGAAATTGCAATATCAGCACTAACTAACTTATTATGTTAGTAATAACTGGTTCCTGTTTTGTATTGGAAAACTAAGGAAAGTTGCAGTTGCTATGTTTTTCTTCAGTAGTTGTGATTAATTTACAAATACTAAGTAATTTTTGACTGCCAAAGAATGTAGACAACACTTGATTGGAGAAGATTGAATTCAATCGACAAAAAAACTTAGTAGAAGTTTTATTCTACTTTCATTTAGGCATGGATTATTATGAATGAGACAAGACAATCTTTATAAAATGATAAATTGAATGCAGTTATTCGGAATTGAGAGTGACGACTACCTTTGATAACTGCTATGTGATTATTGGTTTAAATCACATTTATGCACATCAGAAATCATAGCCTGCATTTTCTTTTAGCTTTTGTAACTTTTCTGTACATTTTTGTGTATATCTTATTTTATTGCTTTTACTAAATATTTTGTATATATGCTTCTGGTAGTGTTCAATCTTAGAATATTTTCAAAAATGTTTTTATATTTTTAAATATGATAAATGAGAATGTAGACTCAATTGGCATAAATTTATCATCATCTGTATCATTACTCTACATGTATGTACTAATGAAGAGCTTTAAATATATTTAATGAATTCAAATAACAAAGCATATGTTCATGGTTTTTGTGATGAGAAAAGTACATATGTTTTGTATTAAATCTGTTTTTCATTATTTTTATGTTAGTTTTTATTGTTAAGTTAGAAATCAAATATTTAAAAATGAATTTTATCAAGTAAATTTGTTATATATAGTTTGTGTTAGTTAGGGTCAAAAAAAATTTGATAATTTTTAAATGGGATTGTGAGGAAAAAGACTGAGAACCACTCACACCGGATCATCACTAACAATATTTATATAACACTTAAATAATTTAATAGTTATTTAAGTAGTTAAATTAAAAACCATAATATTCTAAACTATAAAAGCAAATGATTATAATAAAGATTGCTTAAATGTAAAAAAGTTTAAAATAACCAAGAATATATTCATAAATTTAATTCATTTCATTATATATTAACATTTTTAATACTTACTGTGCCATCTGTCATATTTATGTACCAACTGTTTTTTTAAATAAAAATATGTACATAAAAGTTAATGTACCAATTGTTTTACAACTTCCTGCTGCAATATTTCATATATGCAACAATTGTTACTTCACTAATTTTTGAAAATATATTATTTAATATAAACTGTATATAATTTTATTAAAAAACATTTGTAAATAGCAATAATTTTCCAGTTTAAACTTTTATTATTGCTTAAATAATTGTAGGATTATGTACAGCAATTTTTTATAACAAACTGAAACTTTATTAATGTTTTTCTGTAATAAAGTATATTTACTGTAATTCTAATTAAGCACAAATTTGTTTTAAAGAACTTATCACACACAAACTTTGGGCAAATGGTAAAAAATATCGAATTTATATCCCAAACCTTAATATCATTACATTCCCATTTAGTTTTGACTCTGTTCATGTTTAATTTAATAAAATATCAAAAATGTTAAAGAAATAAAATATATATTGAAATACTTCAATGAATTAGTTTAAAGTATAGAATACTCTATTTTATATTAGCTACTTTAGATTAGTTTCAAAATATGAAACTTAACAAAAATATTCATATTGTTCAGGTAAAAGGTTTTCCAACAATCAAATTTTTCCCAGCGGGAAGAAAAGATGGTTCAGCTGAAGAATATGACGGAGGTAGAACTTCAGCTGATATTGTGAGTTGGGCTTTAGATAAATTTGCTGAAAATGCTCCACCACCTGAAATAAAACAGGTTTGTAATATAGGTGTATTATTACTTAATTTTAAAATAAAACAAAAATTAATAATTTTTAAAATTTATTAATAATTTTTTTTTTTTACAAATTTAGTTGATAAGTGATGAAACCTTAAAAGAATCTTGTGAAAACCATCAATTATGTGTGATCAGTATTTTGCCCCATATTTTAGATTGCCAGAGTGCGTGTCGAAATCAATATATTGAAATTTTAAATAGAATCGGAGAAAAATATAAAAAAAATTCCTGGGGATGGATTTGGGCAGAAGCATTAGCGCAGCCTGAATTGGAAGAAGCATTAGAGATTGGTGGTTTTGGTTATCCAGTAAGTATAGCATGAAAATTATATTAATGCTCAACTTGAATATTAAATTAGAAATATTTGAATTTCATCATATATATATATTTGTGTAGTAGTGAAGAGTTTTCCTATTATCATGTTTTTCATGATACTAGAAATGAATTCAGTTGATATGTTAAAACAGCTTGTTTAATTGAAATTATTGTAAACTGACAGATATTTATTTTTTTAATTACTCTTGTTCAAATCAGTTATATACATTAAATTTAAATAATTTCTCATTTACATATACAATAATCTTAATTTATAAAAATCATTACCACTTAATTAATTTGTATAGTGTATGAAGTCATTGAAAATTTTTCAGTTTCATCTATTGATTTTTTTCTAATGTAATTATTTCAATTATGTTCCTAGTAAACTTTTAATGGGAAAGCTACTAAAGTTTTCTCTCATCTACTGAATTTGTTTTATGTTTTACTCTTAAAACAAATTTGTTTGGAGGAAAATAAATTTTTCCTTTATGTTGATATCTAAAAACATTCTCAATGTTTAGCAACTTTCATAAAAAGTAAGATTATATACATAATTATATTAAATTTGTATTTAAAGAATATTTTTATAAAAATTAACTTATTATTATATTATTACAGCAGAATTTCATAATTTTGTTTTTGTTAAATAAAAACAATGAAAACTGCCAGATTACTGGACATTTAAATAATTTCCATTTTATTGGGCTGCAATTTGAAAAAAATTGTAGACCTATAAATTCCCATTGTTGACATCCATCTATCCATCTTTCCTTAATCTTGAGAATGGTGTTAAATAGATGAAAAACAAGACCAGATATGGAAACCTTAGGGGCAGGAGGCCCCAATTAACTATATAAGAACTTCCAATATAAACTGGAAGTCGCATTATTTCAATTCAAAAATTTTTTCCTGAACAGAGTTAGATACATAACTGGCACAACTCTGTCGTTAAAGGAAAAGTATGATGTGCAGAGGCAAGACACTATTAATTTGAAGTGGAGAGCATATTTTTTCAAAGTAAATAAATTAAATATATGATTAAAAATTGTAGCCCAACATTGTGATAATGTCACAATAAGTAATTGCTCTTTTTATTTGAATAAGTAATTGCTCTTTTTATTTAGAATCATTGACTGGTGGCTAAGTAGGTTTTTTAGTACTTTAATATTATTTGGGGAATATGGATAGAGGTGATTGAATTATATTGGAACAATGTACAAATTTTGACTAAGAAATAATGTAAAAAATATTTGAGAGGCTTTCTAGAAAGAAATATGCTGATAAATAAGAAATGAAAATTATATACAATATATACCTCATAAAGTTATAGTTACAACAATAGTCGTAGTCTTTTTAGCAGGGCTGGATGTGTGGGGCATGATTTAGTGTTAAACAATCCGACTTCAATTCAAAAACTGCAGGAGTTATTAAGCTTCAAACAGGGTGAACAAAATTATGCCACCCACACACACACACACATTCTAACATCCATATATACAGGAAAAAAATCCTGAATCTTTTACATATCTTGATATTTCAAGGTGTCCTGAGTCCAAAAATTAGAAAATTTGCGGGTTATCTTTTTTACTGATTGCTACACTTTCCCTCTGTTATATATAAAAGCAGGGAAAGTAAAAATTATTGAATACATATTTACATATTGACTATGTCATTACTTAGAAGAGTCTTTTAGGTTTGGAATAAAAAAGTTTCTACATTCTATCTTTATTACACGTATTTATTGAAGCTTTTATTTTGAGGTCACATGATTACATCAGAATTCCCATGACTATTTTGGCAATAAGTCTACCCAAGTAGGAGTCGGATGGTAAAGCAAAGTCAGAGTTAGTAGATTTTTTAAACAACTCCACAGCCCTGCTTTTTAGACTTAAACATATGTTGTCTGATGATTCATAAGATGATGATGGTAACGTTTACCATTTTAATAGATTTGCCATTATTAACACACACTGAGCTTTTTATGAAGTCAGAGATTTAAAAATTGAAAGTTGAATTTGGAGATTTTTCTTACTGATTCTAAAAGTATCTTTGGTTTGCAATTAGTCACTGTATGTTTCTACAATATTCTCAACATATTTTATATTGCCAAATGAAATGTTTCATCAGTTTAATTAATTGATGCATAGAAATGCATTGATGATGCTAACATATTGTGGCTTTATCATACCAAAGTATAAAATACTAAATGATGATAGTTGCATTTACAATTTTAATATGATTGGTAGTAAAGTGAATGTTCTAAAATACTGCAATATATAATTAATGGTATATATGTTATATGTTATAAAGGGATAATTTGATATGATTTTATATTTGTAGCTCTGTTTTTATATGATTTTTGAAAAATATAGCTTTATTACAAATCAAAATGTTTTCTAATTAGAAAAATAACATTTTCATTTTCCAGATTTAAAAGTTAAAATTAGATTTGATTTTTTTTATCATCAAAATTTAAGTTTTTATATAATTTAATCTTAATAATCAGATATACAAATAACGTCATGAAATCCTTAACTGTAGAACATCACAAAGTAATTTAAACTAAGTATTACTCAGAATAAGAATGGAGCTGATGTGTTGGAAGTTTAATGTGTCACTCCATCACAGCTAAGCAGTGAGAATAGAATGATGTTGAATAAAATATTCAAAAATTCAAACATTGTGATATTTTTATTATTATTTTTTTAATAGTCTCAAATTTCTTGCAAAGTTTTGGAAATTTTGTATATAGAACTAAATAGATTGTAACAGAAAATAATAAATATAATTTATTTTTAAGCTATCTTTTGTGTTTATTACAAAGTAGAACATTATAACTATTGTTAACTATACATATCCTTTGTGTATGTAGACTAATGAATTCATTATTATTTACATAAAATATTTTATTATTAATATATAAGGTATATTACTATTTTTTTTTTCTTTTTTAGGCAATGGCTATAGTTAATATTCGTAAAATGAAATATTCGCTTTTAAGAGGTTCATTTAGTTATGATGGCATTAATGAATTTCTCAGGTAATTCGAAAGAAAATTAATAACTGTTTTCAAATATAAATATGTTGTCAAAAAATTTAAAATAAAAATATTTTAGGGAAGTATCTGTTGGTAGAGGAGCTAGTGCACCTGTGAAAGGAGCAAAATTACCAAAAATTCATGTAACCGAACCTTGGGATGGTAAAGATGGAGAGGTAAAACATCATTATATAATTTTTATATCTGTTAACAATAGAACTAAAAACAATTTACTAGTAAAAAACATTGTAAATATAAATAATTTGATAATTACTTTTAAGACATTTAAATAAACTAGTTTTTTAATATAAATATATCATTTAATACAGTCCTTCCAACGATAATAGAACATACAGTGATTGCCTAGAAACTCATTATTATTTTTATGTAATTTTGATGAAATTTTCTAGTACATTTTATAGTAAGATATCGACAATTATTGCAACAAGTTTGGAGAAAAATGATTAATAAACAAAAGAGCTAGATATTATTAGCAAAAATAGAATGTCCAACATTAATAGAACATTTTGACTTATGATATCTTTAAATTAAAATTAGTAGCTGATTATGCAACCATTTTTGGAAACAAGCTGAAAAATACGATTAGACATTGAATTAATCAAAGATTTCAGTCATTCTTAGGGAATATTTCTCCATGCCTCAATTTTAGTTCAGTGACAGTCTTGTATTGCTTTCCACTGCTATTCCACATTTGGAAAACAAGTCACCCCAAAGATTTTCAATTGGGTTTAAATCTGCACTGAGGGGTGGCCAGTCCAAAAGTCAGACCTTGGTCTGAAAAAGTATAATGTTGATTTTGATACATGGAAGCTTTCATTATCCTGTAGGAATTCAGTCCAGCAATATTCTGTCCATAAGTTTGCAGTTGCCTTCAGACAAGCTCTTAATAAGTTTGAGAGTTTCTGGCGTAGTAAACACTAGTATTGTGTTTTATTCCAAAGACACATGGCAAATTTTCCATCAAATTCCTTTATTAGTTGAGTCCATGTGTCTTTGGAATAAAACACAATACTAGTGTTTACTATGCCACAAATAAAAAGCAGGACATGGTTTCAAAAAGAAAATAAAAAAAAAAAAGTTTGAGAGTTGTTTTGACCTTCAATAAATACTAGATCTGTCTTTCCATTCTATCCAATCCCCGTCCAAGTTATGAGTGTACCACCACCAGCTACTCCCTTTGAGTACTGCTTTTGTCTGTACCTTTTGCTGATCAAGTCTTTTGTCTGCCCAATAATACTTAAACCGATCAGGTCTGTTGAGATTCCACTTTTTCTTATCTGAGAAAATTACTTTTTACCATCCTTCCCCTCTTTCAAAGTTGTTTCTGGCAAACTGTAATTGAGGTTGTTTGTGTTTCTCCTTGAGTTGGTTGCCTGTCTTCATTTTGATTAAAGAAACATTGTTTGTTGATCTCAAAACATTGTGTATTGTTGATTTACTGCAGCTCAGCTTCAATTCATTTTTGATTTTTTGAACAGATGTGTTTCTTTGCAGTGCATGTTGAACAATTGCATATTGTTCTCTAGTTGTTGTTGAACTGTTTTGTTCTCCTGTTCATTGCTCCTTATTATTGAGGTACTTTGAGATTGTTGCATAAAGTCTTCCCAAATTTTTAACAATTTAAGTTATTTTACTTCTTTTCTGGTGAAATACATCAATTTTCCTCTCAGGGTCCTTTCCTTGTCCCCATTTTTAATAGTAAGGTATTATGTAATCTACAAAACCTTTCTTTTCACTTGTTGATCATATTTTTTGGATTCCAATCATTACTTTCTTTGTAATTAATTCCAATCAGTACATGCCTATTTATGTTAGATATCCTATTTTTGATAATTATATCTAACTCTTTTCTTTATTAATCATTTTTCTCCAAACTTATGCAATAATTGCTGATATTTTGTTATCAAATGTACTAGAAAATTTCATCAAAGTTACATGAAAATAAAGATTTTCTAGACAATCACTGTATGTTCTATTATTCTTGGAAGGACTGTATAAGAATATGAAGTCAGAATTTTGAGATAAAAAATTTTATTAATCTAATTGAAATTGGATTATTTTGAATTTTGTTTGAATCTGGAGGTCGAATATGATTTTAAAAAATATTTCACTTCTACAATAGAGATCATTAGTTGTTCATCCATTAATCCTAAAACAAATATCAGACAAACCTTCTTGTCTTCTCTTTTATTAAGTTTTTTTTATGTTAAAAATAAACTAAAACTAAATATTAAATTGATTATGAAGTTATATTTTATACAAATGTGTTCACATACCTTTCTTTTCTATGAATTTAATTCAAATACTTTTAAACAGTTGAGTTGTGAAAATAAGAAAACTTTTTATCTAGCTATTCTTGCAAATATACATAAATTGATGATTGGTTATATTTTAATTTCATTGCCACTTGATGTTCTTTAAAGAACATCAAGTGGCAATGAAATTAAAATATAACCAATCATCAATTTATGTATATTTGCAAGAATAGCTAGATAAAAAGTTTTCTTATTTTCACAACTCAACTGTTTAAAAGTATTTGAATTAAATTCATAGAAAAGAAAGGTATGTGAACACATTTGTATAAAATATAACTTCATAATCAATTTAATATTTAGTTTTAGTTTATTTTTAACATAAAAAAAACTTAATAAAAGAGAAGACAAGAAGGTTTGTCTGATATTTGTTTTAGGATTAATGGATGAACAACTAATGATCTCTATTGTAGAAGTGAAATATTTTTTAAAATCATATTCGACCTCCAGATTCAAACAAAATTCAAAATAATCCAATTTCAATTAGATTAATAAAATTTTTTATCTCAAAATTCTGACTTCATATTCTTATACAGTCCTTCCAAGAATAATAGAACATACAGTGATTGTCTAGAAAATCTTTATTTTCATGTAACTTTGATGAAATTTTCTAGTACATTTGATAACAAAATATCAGCAATTATTGCATAAGTTTGGAGAAAAATGATTAATAAAGAAAAGAGTTAGATATAATTATCAAAAATAGGATATCTAACATAAATAGGCATGTACTGATTGGAATTAATTACAAAGAAAGTAATGATTGGAATCAA